ATGCTTTAGTAACCTTTGCCATTCCTGTTCTACATCCACCCTGCCAACAAACAAAGGTAAATCAAATCAGTTGAATCTTGATATTAATCAATTACGACAGAACACCAGCCAGAAAGCTTTAATTAATGGTTCACATAAAATATACATAACCTATGACATTGAAAATGTTTGTAGTATCCTATTCAACATCTTCAATTTTACACATAAATCTGTATTTACATGGCATTTCAAATATCAAGGACAGTATGTCTGAAGACAACATTCTAGCGCTAATAAGTAAACACAAAATAATTCAGTACAGCAATGGCTAAAAAACAATGAATAACTAGCACACCAGTGCTGCACATTCTTCTGCAAGACCAGGTCCAGCTGCAGCATGCAAACCAGGGCTGCAATGTGCCTCATCCATGTTCTGTAAATTGTCCAATTGAAACGAATGTCAGACTAGTAGAATTTGTGAGCCCCATGTCTATTGACAATGTAACCAGGTTTAAATATCATGAAGTTTCTCATTCCCAATAATCCACATTTACAATGTTCTGTCAAGGATTTATCATCATAATCTAGTGCTCACCTCATTTGTAGAATTCACGACAGCATCAACTTCCAGATTCCATGGGTTCCCTCTCCACAGATATATCTTCGAATTAATTTCATGGTCAACGGGAAATCTTGAGACTATCCAACTGCTACTGCTCTCCGCTCCAGATTGAGAAGTTAAGGGGTCAGGAAAATATTTATTTGAAAACGAAGGATCTTCATTGTCATATTCCAAGGAAGAACGATGATCTGCATTGCTCCATCGAGGAACTTGATCCAAACTGACAACACAATCCCCACTATCAGTTGGAGATCCACCCCGGGTTGCAGTGGTGGCTGTGGCCACAGTCCGGTACATTTTTGTGACTCTGAATTACAGTCACAGTCCCGTAGCGAAAAGCACTACTATCTATACACCAGAACTTTCAAAATTCAAGCTTCAACTGCCACATGAATCTACAATGCTAACCCAAACTAATCACACAGAATTCCCCTGAAATAAGCCATGTGACAATCACATCTCTATACAAATAAGATCATGATTTTCAACAAAGCTACACAATTTATCCAAGAAATGAACTTTCATATAACCCACGAAAACCCTTACCTAAGTTTCCCAATTACAATTCCGCGCGTAATCTCAACCAAATAATCTCCTTTTCTTCCTTCTTTCTTTTATCTTGGCTAAGAAACCCAAATTCAAATTTTCTGCACAAGCAAGCTCTTACAGCACCACAGGAACAAATTGAGAGCAGCTCAATTTCTTAGCAATTCTCGTTTGGTAGTTGAGGAACTGTAGGAGAATTAAATGAATTCAATTCTCCATTACATAGAACCAAGGGGCCTGGATATCCAACCCTAGTCTGAAATTTTCGGAGCAAATGAAAATGAAAATCAAAGAAAAAAATATAAAAAGAGGAAGAAAATCCTAAAATTCGTGGAGGAAGGGAAAGAGAGGAAGTACCTGCGAGAAGAAAGAGAGAGAGACAGCTATTATTGCTGGGGTCGCTGAGCTTGCAAAGGACATTTCATTTGGGCTCTGCCCAGGAATAGGAATAGATTATAGGATACACACAAATTATTAGCTAGTATTTTTATATTCTTTTATTGGACTTTTCATTTCGTATTTTTGTCTTTTGTCTTCATTGACTTGGAATATCGGAAGCACCCCTTCATCTTTCCTAAAATTCCAGACCCGCCATTCTTATATTTAAAAATGAAAATAATTATTTTCTTTTGGTTGAATTAAATTATTAACTTAAATCTTTGTTTAGGCTTGAGTAAACAAATTTTGGCGGATTAATTATCCTTTGGTAATTCTTTTTCAAAACCAATTTGTGTGACATGACATGTATATTCTTTATATATTTTTTAATGTTTCCTTGGGTCGGGTGTGCGATTTTGATGCAAAAGTAGCAAATCCACATCACTATGCATAGAAATCATAAGTTTAATTGTCCGGTTCTGCCTTTGGCACTTTGTTAATTAATATGGTAAACCTGCAGTTACTTTTTTTGTTTAGATTTTCAATAATATTTTCATTTACAGGTGTGACCAGGGGCGGAGCCACAGTGCGGTCAGTGGGGTCGCACGACCTCTTGGAAGCCATGGAAATTGGCTTAGGGGTCCCTTGGAGCTGGGGGAGAGACCCCTTGGAACTGCACACCAGGTGCTCGATGCTTCTCCTGAGGAAGAAATAAGCTGCGTAAGGAAGAAGAAGAGAAGTGTTGTTCTGTTTTTTTTTAAAACTTCCTGGGCAAAACTACGTCGTTTTGACCCAAGAAGTTTTTAAAATAACCGTTTTGACCCAAGAAGTTTAAAAAATAACCTGGCCCAGCAACTCCCCCCAAACCCACCCGATACTTAACTCATAAAACCCCCAAATTCTATATTTTCTACACTAGGTTCCCAACTCAATCTCCCACCCCCACCCCCAAACCCTCAACATAGCTGCAAAGGTTCAAAGCTGCGTTTGGAGCCTCATTTATTTGGCTTGTGGGCTTGACTTACTTCACCAGGTTTTCATTCTCTTCCCTCTCCATCTCTGATTTTATAAATTTATTGTTCTTAGTGTACTTAAACCTCTGTGCTACATTCTTTTATTAATTTTTGAGGAATTTAATCTTTTGGGTCATTATATAATGGGGTTTTTTGTGTTTCTAGGAGGTGGAGATCTTTGTGATTCTAGCTGGTGGTGTGGAAAAGCTCATATTCAAGTAATTTTTAAACTCTAAATCTCTAATTGATGATAATGCCTAATATTTTTATTGGATAATGATTTATTGGATTGGATGAATATTGATGATTTTGTGTGTGCATGATTTATTGGATTGGATAACTATAGATGATTATTTGATTTGTTGGAATTTAGGGTTTATGATTAATTTTGTGATGGACTTTTTGTCATCCCTCTGTTTATTTATTTGTCTTAATAAAATTTGTTTCTTTTAAAAAATTGATTGACTGTTTGGTTTGATTAATTCATGTGTAGAATTATAGAACAACAAGAGAAAAGTAATAGAAAATTATCTTTTAGTGTGTTATTTTCATCTTTAAAAAAATATCCGAACTTTTACACTAAGACCCCTTGGAGTAACAATCCTGGCTCCGCCACTGGGTGTGACATGTGTAATGTGATGATGGTTACACGAATAAAAGTAGTACTTGAGGAATTAGGAATTTTTTTAGTGAAGTTGCAATTTTGGAAGTCTAAATGTTTTATAATTAAAAAAAAATGACAACCAAATATCCTTATAATTGAAACAAGAAGGGTCTTAGGCCTATGATTATGACTAATTGACTATAATATATCAATTAATATAGAAATAAATATCAATTAATCAATTAATTTAATGAAAATTAATATCAAATAATTAATTAAATAAGCAAATCATAATGGATTGTACCTTGATTCATGCGTCGCGCAATCTCTTCCTCCTCGAGTTTGCTACTAATCATATGAATACAACATAGAGAGCCAAATAAAAAATATATTATTTTAAAATAAATAAATAAATAAAATTGGCATTTGCTTAAGAAGGAAAAAAAAAAAACAAAGCATCATACTTACTTTGGAGTTGTGCAATTGGTGTTTGTTCCTTAAAAAAAAAGTTTGCTCAAAATTGGCTTTAATAAAATTGGTGTTAATCCTTTATAACGATAACTCCTCCCAATCCCCCATAAGAGCATTTCCAGCAAGGGGACCAAGGGGAGGGCTGGGTGGGGGTGTTTAGGCCCAAAATGGTGTTTCCAGCAACAAAACAAGCCCCGGGCAGATGGTGGGACCCAGCAATCTGGGTTGGCCCGAGCTCCAGCCAGAGTTTTGGTGCTGACGTCAGCCCTGGCGTTCAAATTTCGCGCCAATGTTAAAAAAAATTTGAACGCGCCGCTACAGTGCCGCCAACGGCTCTCAGCCACGTGTCGCGTTCTGGGCTCTTCGATCAGAATTTTTCCTTCAATCCAACGACAGCCAATTTTTGTGCAATAAAAAAATGAAAAAAAATCAAATTAAAAAAAAAAAAAAAACCAAAAATTTTGAATTTTTTTTTCTATAAATACCTATAAAAATTCTGAAATTTGAAACCGAAAATTTTATCCGATTATGAGATATGAATTTTATAATAAATATTGACAAGTACAAACCCAAAAATCTTATCTGAAAATATTGTCAAAATTAATTGTTTAGGTAAAAAAATATGTGAAAAAAATAAAAAAATGAATAATATTTGCCATTTGCCATGGCAACTGCTGGAAACACACAATGCTTTTTGCAAGGGCAGCCACTATTCATGTGAATAGTAGCTGCCCTAGTCCCCCCTTGTCATGGCAAGGGTTTCATTGCTGGAAGTGCTCTAAATAAGGAATTGTGCAATGTATGAGTTTACTTTTTTTTTTTAAATTTAATTTGTTTAAAAAAAGAAGAACAAAAGCTTGTTAAAAGACCTTTTTAAATAGCCTTTTATCATGTTTTAAGTAGCCCATATCAGAGCTTGTTAAAGCCCACATATAGTTTCCTTCTAAATTTTTTTTTTAAAAATCCTAGTCCAAAACGACGTCATTTTAGCCAGGATGTTTTAAAAGAAATTGGCGCTGGCAACAGCCCAACCCAGTAAACCTTGATTTTGGTTGAGTCAATTCGTCAAACAAGTTGAGTGCACCACCCAACCTCACCAAAGGGGTAGAATGTAGCGCCTGTAGAAGCTTTTCTGGCTAGGGGAGGTGCAGCTACACCTCATTACGTCTTAACAAGTCCCCCACTCAAATAGTAGGATTTTCTAGTAATAGAATTGTAGTTCAAGTGCTTAAGAGCATTCACCCCTCTATTCTCGATGTCATAGGTTTGATTCTCCTTTCCCCAATATCCTTGTATTAAAAAATAAAAATAAAAAGATTTTCCTATATCATGGTTTGATAAACTGAGTTGTCAAATTGTGAACTGATTGTCACAATGTATGCTCCTAGAACTCATGATCAGTATAAGTATTCATATTACAAAGGCACGTATCAAGGTCTTCAAATGGAAAAAACAAATCTAAGGACTAAGAAATTAAGCTTGAAACAAAGCAAAACCAGGGTCTCTCAGTCAATCCTTGACACCAGCCTTCTCCTTCAACATAGCAATGAACTTGTCTTTCTCGTCAGGTGACATTCCCTCTGCCGAGCAATCTCCAATTCCCCACTCTGCCCCACGTATGCAGTACTTGTCTTGAATTTCTTTACTATTCCTGAACATTTCCAAGTTCATATAACATTAGAAACTAACTGATTCATGAAAATCATGCAGAAACAGGATATATATATATATATATATATATATTGACAATCTTTCCTAACAACTTTATTTTTTAACGTAAATGGTTGTCTAACATGGTATCAAAACTTGGTAACAATATGCGCTTGATCTTAAGCAGACAGCCAAGAAATTACCTTTCTTTGTTCAGCTTGGATTTTTCTAGTAGCCCCTTGAGCAATGGAGTTGATTTGAATCTTGCATCATTCTCAGCATACTTTTTCTGGTTTTCTTCTGCAAGAATGAAACAACATTTTCATCAATCTTGTTCAGTGTGCTCCAGTTGAAAAATGAATGTTATCAGCTGTGAGTGAGGACCCAACCATTGAAGCGCTTAAGAAAGTCGACTTGAGGCAACTCAGGACCAGGAATTGATTCCATCCCGGTTGATCCTGATAGAAATCCGGCTTCAGCTGCAACATCAAATTGCTCATCAACAAAATTTCATTATTCTAAACACATAATTACTTAAAATATAAATGATAATCTAATGAAATCTGAAAGTTTGCAAGAAGAAGAAGAAGAAGAAAGCTCATATTAATTGTTGGGTCTTTTCAACTACATACCTGGACCTGAGCAGAGAAGAATGGCTGCTGAAGCAGCCAGAGAAACAGAGCCATGAAGAAGAACCCGGCGAGATGGTGAAGGAGAAGACCTTTGACAAGAACTAGAAGAAACAACGACTGTGGCGGGTCTTCTATAGCTCTTAATTTGAACTCTGTTATGAAGGTTACTGGGTTTTTCACAGAAATCCAAATTGGTATATGGAATTTGAAAGGAAGGATGGGAGAGAGCTGAGAATGAAGAAGAGGAAACCATGGTTGTTGTTGGCCCGCCACAGCCCGAGCCGAACAAGGGATAACAAGGACGAGCCATATAAATATCTACCCTTAATATCAGCCACACAAAAAAAAAACAAAAACTATCAGCTACTTAACACTTTCGGGGGCATAACTTGTAAATTTGTTTGAGGACATAACCCAAAAACAAGAAAACGGCTTGTATGAAACTGGTGTTTTATTTGCTTTCACTTGAACACATGCCATCCATGCAATTATGGTCCAAAAACTCTCAGATATCTTTAAGGACTGTTTTGCTTTTATTACTTGGGACAGAGGAGAAACAGAGAGAGCTTGCCAAAATCAGGAGAGACTTCCATGAAAGGGGATAACAATATTATGCCATCACCCGACTCAATAATGCTATGGCACGCATGATAACATTTTCATGTGGCATTATTGACCGGATAGCAAAACAGTGATAACCGTTACAGCTAAGTTTTTGTCCAAAATCAGGTACAATTATTCAACTCAATTATATTTTGATGCTTTGTGGGTCTATAACGTAACAGAACATGTGATCCATGCGAAATGGTCCAAATGAAAGCACACAGAAACTTCAGAAAGTTTGGTTCCTTTTATTATTACCAAAACAGACATAACAAACTGAGAAAAGTTTTGCCAAAACATTTTTGGTGAAGAGCTACAACACGACATTGATTCTACATATAATTAGTTTTTCTTCCACTCGTCAATGAGTCTCTTCAACATTTTCTCACGGCACCCACCAACTCCAGCGGTCTTCTTAGCCTCTTGCTCAATCCTTGCAGCTTGCACTCTCAGAGCTTCACTCTGCATCAGTTCTTTGATCTTATCGCCAATCTCTTCTCCGTTGACCACCAACTTGTCATTCTCGCCGCCGCCCCAAGGCCAAGTTTTGGCCCAAACCCCGAGCCCACACCTATCGACCACCTCTGCATTGATCTTTTGATCGCCGTGCTGTGGCCAAGCCAGAACTCTAACGCCATGCCATGCAGCCTCAACCACCGAGTTCCAGCCACAATGGCTCACAAAACCACCCACTGCTCTGTGACCCAAGATTTCTCCTTGCTCCACCCAGCTTTTCACTACCAACCCCCTGCCCTTCAGTTTCTCCATAATTTCATGCCCAATTACTAAATTGCCCTCTTCTTCTTCCTCTTCCCTGTCGACCAGCTTCTCCTTCACCACCCACAAGAACCTAAACCCGCTTTTGACCAGCCCATCACCCACCTCTCTGATTTGGTCTCCTGACAGGGCCGTCCTGCTTCCGAAGCTCACATAAACCACTGACCCATCATGCTGATCATCAAGCCAGTTTCTCAGTTGGTCGCGGTCATCATCTCCCTGCAGTTTCTCAAACTCACAGGGCACAAAAGGCCCAACGGGAAAAACTGGGGGCAACCCAAACCCATCATTGAAAGTTACTTTTCCACCGTTAAGCGCATGCAATGCCTCTGCTTCTAGCCCTTCAAACGTATTGATCAAAACCCCATTCAAATTTTTGAGCTTTGGACCGTCCTCTAAGAATATATTACTAAAAAGACTGTTCCTGATAAGAAGCAATGGAGACACAGACGATCTGGGTATTGGCGGGAAAATTCCTGGGATTTCAAGAACATCTCCAAATTGAATTGTGGGGTTGTTGATGTTAGCTGGTGTCAATGCGGATGCGACCAAATTGTGGTAAGATGCAAAGAGAGAGAACATTCTGGCTGAGCTGGTGAAGAGAATGTAAGCAGGGAGGTGATAAGGGAGGCTTTGGATGACGGGAAGAACAGGGGCCATTAAACTGACGTCGTAGATGAGAGCAGAGGGAGGTGGAGACAGAGAGGAAAGCAGAGGAGTGAGAAGGTGAGCAGAGCGACGAATGGCTTCGAACTTGAGCCAAAATGGGTCGGTGGAGTTGACAGTGGAAGGGTCCAAAGGAAGAAGATGAAAGTCCATTTGAGTGACTCGGTCAGGGAAAGCTGAGAGGAAACGAGAGATGAGAGAAGACTCGGCTAGGGACACAGTTGGGTGGGTGGTGATGAGGGTCAGTTTCAGTGGGGGGCAGTGGTTTCTGGCAAGCAATAATGCGGCAAGTCGTAGAAAAGGTGTCAAATGGCCCATGCCAGCGCTGGGGAAAAGAGCGACATGAGTTTCGGGGGTTCGGAGGAGGCTACCGGAGCCTGATGTCATCTTGGGAGGGAGGTGTGGCTTGTTGGGAAAAATTGGCTTATCTAAAATATGCAAAGAAGTTAAGTCTGAAGCAAAGCAAGGACTTCTTTTCCATGTGCTTTGCTTCTCCATTTAAATGCAAGTCATTTATGAGCTATAGGGACGTTGGCAGGGAAAATTCTACAGTGCACCTGGCGCACTAATGCGCCACTTATTATAGACCATTGGATGAGTAGCTGGGGCATGTGGGGTAATCCAAAGCGTTGATTGTTGGTTACCGGTTAAATTGGTTGTTGTAGGTAAAACCAAATAAAAAATACAAAAATACTTGCTCTCTCAGTAAGAGACATTTCAAGTTTAGGGTTGGGTTTTTCATTTCTTTCCCTTCGAGTTCGATTCCTTCCACATCAGCTCCTCTCCTCCTTCTGTGACGACGAGACGATGCCCGCGACCACATCTCCTCTCCTCTCAAGTAGGTCATGCTCCTTCTTCTCCTTCTTCATTTCGTTCTCCTTTCTAGGGTTTTTGGTCTGGGTATCTTCCTTGTTGCTGCTGCTTCATCGCTGGTTTCTTTGTTTTGTTTTTTTAGGTTTTCATAGTTATGATTTCTCTGTCTCACTCTCATCTGGATCTCTGTGGATGGCTTTCTCTCAACCTCTCTGTGGCAGGTAAGAACTCTAATTTTCTCCCTCTCTTTCTAACTGTGCGATTTAGATGATTCGCATCATAGCATAGAGTATTTCAACTTTGAATTTTGGTCTAGGCTTTCTAACAAAATGATTTATATGTCCTATTTTAATTTAGGGTTTAATGATTTGGGTATTGAATCGCAAGTCCTTATTTATTTTTTTTTGGTAATATTTTGGATTTATATAGGAATTTGGTAATTTTTTGAAATTATAATTATGTTTTTTTTTCTTTCGAATTGTTCTCTCTCCCACCTCTCCTCTTTCTCCCTCTCAGATATACGTTGCCAATTTCTTACTTTTTTTATTATTTGAATTTGAGGGTTGGAAGCTTGAGAGTTGTTCATTCTTGATAATGATATGGGACTTTAAATTGATGGCCTTGAGACTGCATATTGTTCAAACCAAAAGCACTGGGTTCTTGAAGGAAGATGCTAGACGATGGAGCATCCATTTCAGCCTTGAAGAGATATTGCGGGTTTCTGTTTTGTAAACTGTGTGTATTCTGTGTTTGATAACTTGGAATTTTATTTACTCTGTTTACTTGAGATCTTAATGTTAAAATAATGATCTAGAACTTGAGATAGGATTGAGACATTTATTGTCCTCCACGACAATGGAACAAATTGGTGTCCATTACAACCCCTGAGATCCATGACTTCTTATAATGTATTATTTTTGTGCTTGAGATAATTTAGTCTGAATTGTAGAGTAATATCTTTAGTTTCTTATGCAGTTTTAGAGATGCTCAACAACAGAGCATAGAATGTAGGTGTTGTAAGTTCTTTGTCCAATCTTCATCTTTGACATGAGTTACGCTATAGAATTTCATTGATAAAGTGACTGAAACTGATTAGTGATCATTCATACATCATTTTCATTTTCATTTTATGTATGAATTTGAATGTGTGAGATGATTCTCATATTATATATATATATTTGGCAATGTGTGAAATCATTGAACTCTCTAGCCTTCTAGGGGTTGATTTTAGATTCTCATTAGTTCAAATTTGTAATAGCCACTTATCATCCAAGACCATCTTACAGTATTTTGGAATTAGTTAGCTTAGTCTTCAACAAATCTCTTGGTATTGAAAATGTAATCTTCATTAGCATGAACTGAAACTACTCGGTACTGGCTTTTACATTGGGGGGAATTCATAATATTTTATTCGATAAAAAAATACCTTGTGAAATACAATTCAAGCTAACGAAAAGCTAGATAAGTAGACTTAGATTTACAGTCTAAGTATTCTATTAAAAAGGGAGATGTGCACCTCTATATTCAGTTCATCCAGCAATTCTGTTAGAAAAGGGATTTCTTGTAGCATCTCTTGTTTTAAGTCTTTCAAGTGTTGAGAAGAAAAGAGTCAGTGTAAACAAATGCCTATGCATGATAGGGTTATATATATATATTAAAAGAAGGAAATGAGAGCAATGGATATTCAGGTTACAATACAAAGCTACATTTGCTAGCTGATATACTCTTACTTAAGTTTTAAGGTGGTATTGCTTAAGTTATAAGGTTGTAGTGCTCTCAAACCTGAAAATGTTGAGGCACTAATTTGTACACGAGACTGGATATTTATTTGTTTCTTTTTATCATCATCTAAAGTCTTATTTGGGTAGTTAACTATAACTATTGTTTTATTTGGCTTGTATGTTTTCATGTTTACAGGACTTCCTAACCCACTGAACATGAAACTTCACTGCAATCAATGGTACCATGCATATCAAGAGTTCTAATTTACACGACTTCTATATCTTCTACATGGGAAAGGGACTCACTCTTCTTCTTGTGCTTCTTAATTTGAAATTGGTTTTGATTATGTTTTTCAGTTAGGTATTGTTTTGATTTTGATTTTGGATTTGCAGGTATTCCTACTAGCGGGCCATCCACCCTTCCCAGCATCTAATAAGGGTAATTTTTTTTTTCCCTTCAAATTTATCTCTGTCTCTGTCTTTCATTTTGGTGAATGGTTGAGGATTTTATTTATTTATTTTAGTCATGCATGAGGAATATATATATTATGAACTGCATGTTAAAAACTATCATGCTACATTGGAAGTGGTATTATTTGCCTAATCTTGGCATAGTGCTAAGAATAGTTAAGTTTGGAATCACAAAATGAGGACGTAAAGACAAACACTAGGCCATTGTACATGGCATTGGAGACATGGTTGAAGCTGGTCCCAGCTTTTGGCTGCTTTCGTTGCACTTTTTTGTTTGATATTCAAAGCCTATAAGATTGATGATCGTTATACAATCCAAAAAGTAAAAAAAGGAAAAAGAAAAGAACAAATCTCTACCCCAAACTGGCATATTGCTTTCTATTCAAGTTAATTATGTTGCAGGTTTGTTCTTTTTTTGTTTACAATGATGAATTTCTAATTGTTTTCATATTAGCATATTGCTTTATGTTTCCATTCATTTTATTGATAGTTTCGTGATTGTTTTTCAGGTTATGGTAAAGAATTAGGCCAAGTACAAGACTAATATACTATTTTGGAGTCTATTTATTTGGCTACTTGAATTTGTAATATTTTCATTGTATCTGGAAATTGTATTTTTTATTATATAAATATACATAATGACTTAAGATTTTAGATTTATAATTATTGGTT